GACCACTGTCCTAGGATTAGCAGCACTGGGAAGACGCCTCCATTTCAACCTCAGAAGACAATCACAGAGACACTTCCAGAAACAGATCTCCACCGTCCCCAAAGGCTGTCGGCTTCACATACCACGTGAGTTACAACTTTATGCATTTAGAAAAGCGTCATGGCCTGGCCGGTGTTGCCCAGTGGTCATGGCTCGATTCCTGGTCAGGGCACATGCTCAGGTTCTGGGTTCAATCCCCAGTAGGGCGTGGGCAGAAGGCAGCTGGTCAATGATTCTCTCTCATCACTGATGTTTCTCTCTCTCCCTCTTCCTTCCTCTCTCTGAAATCAATGTTTAAAAAGAGAGAGGAAAACGCCATGGGGGTCGACAGTCAGGGGTCCTCCTGGGCAGACCCTGGAGCCTGCCAGGAACCAGGCGTCAGGAGTCGGGCTTCCTGAGCTGAGGGTGGGTGTGTTTAGAGAATGGACTAGCCTGCATTCCTGGGAGTAGGCCCAGGAGCCTTGGAGCCAGGGGGCTGCCCCTGACCCTCAGGAGAGCTGGGTTCCTGGCTCGCCAACTGATTCCAAGGCAGGCACGCAGGGGCACCCCTGCCCAGAAACACCGGAGCACATCTCCCTTAACATCTCAGGTAAGTCAAGACACCCCCAGAGGGATGCAAATGAGGGGGGAGGATCCGATGATAAGAACCTTGGATTGGGAGCCAGGGACCCGGTCCCCACCCTGCCACGTGTGAACTGCATCACCTCAATCAGGTCTCAAGTTTTCTGAGCCCCAGCTTTCATCTCTGTATAAAGAAGGGCTCGATTTAGGTAAACTATAAAGCCTCCCCCCACCCCCCACCCCAGAAAAATAATAATCCTAGGATGCTAACATGTGTGGCTGGACAACCTGATGTTTAACATGCTTCTACGTGATTCACAAAACGAAAACCTTACCTGTGCATTCCCAGGACGTGGAAGACAGAAAGCCAGAATGGTGACAGTGAGAATCCTGCGAAAGGCAAAACGGCAAAATCAATGCCCAGGGCACTTCCAGGAGCCAGGTCTGCAGGCACACGGCCCGCCCGCTGCTGGGCATTTACAACCGGAAGTCACCTTGGGCTTAG